ACACCAAGGGCCTGTTCCGGAAGTTCCCTCAGGATTTTTATGGATATACCATCTGAACCGGCTGTGGACTGTTTTCTAATGGATTTAAGAACAGATCCTACTTCATGGACATCGGTGGGAAAAAATGAAAAAGACTCGTTGACATGCAGGTCTCCGAGATAACTCAATGGATCAACATTCGAGTTGACGGCTGCGGTAAGGTTATCAGCGACAGTGCAGTAAAAGCTGTTTAAGTCTTCAAGATCAATGTCAATTTCTTGAGATCTAAGGCTTTTTTTACCTGTAACCTCTCTCACGATGTTCCAGGTTTCCCTAGATTTATTAGCAGCATTGCTTAAACGATTAGAGTTGAATAAGTGTTTAGCAGTACGGATGGATTTCCTATACATTTTTCTATATTTGAGATAATAGTTCAAGATAAAAGGACAATCAACAAAGTGTTTTCTTATGAGATTTAAAGATCTTAAGTTACCTGCAGAAATCTTTAAGCCCTTTGTCATCCAATATTTTCGGTTACCCTGTTTAAAATCAATCTCAAACTCAAAACCAAATATCTACAGAAACGAACACATACTCATATATTATTAGCTCTAATAATAATATCTGCTACATTTATCTACCTCATCTCGCTATAAATGGAAATCTTTCCAATTTAAAACTATTGTTAGACACTGGTTCTAACGTCTCGTTCATTAAAACCTCTAAGTCTAAACTGAAAAATACCAGTTTGTTTTATAATCCTTTAGAATAAATGTCATTGAACGGTATTAATCCCAATGCAGCTGTAAAAATTGTAGGCAGCACATTTTTACAGATAAAATTGCAAAATATACCTAACTATAAAGAAGAAATTTCACATCATTCCAGAAAACACTGATATTCCATTCGATGGAATAATTGGCAACGATTTTTTAAAGTCCGAGGAGGCTGAAATAAATTCTAGAACTCTCGAACTGAAATTTAAATGTTCTTCATTACCAATAAAATTGTTTCTTAGCTCGAACTCGAGCAATGACAATGTAAACTGTAATTATATCCTACACCCGCGATCTGAAACCATAATACGCATCAATGTTATCAACGGTAATCAAGTGAAAGAAGGCTACTGTTGCGATGCAGTGATTATAGAAGGAGTTTACTTAGCAAAAGCTATTTCAAAAGTTGATGAAAACAATACTGCTGTAACTACAATCGTAAACACTTTGGAAAAAGCCGTGCAAGTAAACTTTATCAACGTGGAACTCGAGAAATTCCACGAAGATCACTGTTTCAGTTTTAATTAATGCTACGCAATCAGAAACGTCTGATTCTCACATGGTTGATCGCATTTCAACGTTAGAAAATAATTTAAGATTAGAACATCTTAATTCTGAAGAGAAATTGTCAGTTTTGACCTAATTGTCGTTGGATCAAATGTTTCCGATCATGAACAAAAAAAATTAAAACTAACATTTCAGAGATTGTCTCATACAACCTGATGTGAGTTCATGAAAAAAAAAGTAATTTTCTTAGGTCACAAAATTTCAGAAAATGGCGTTCAGCCAGATGAAAAAAAAATCGAAAGTGTTTTAAATTTCCCAATGCCCAAATTTCAGAAAAATCTTAAACAATTTTTAGGTCTTGTAGGCTATTACAGACGATTTATACCGAATTTTGCAAAAATGGCAAAACCATTGACAATTTTATTGACTCAATTTTCTATTGGAATGAGGGACAACAAGTCTCTAGAGAAATTTAAGAGTATTTTAACAAAGGTGCCATTATCACAATTCCCAAATTTCAATGAGGAATTCACATTAACGACCGACGCATCCAATTTTGCAATTGCATCAGTTTTGTCGCAAGGTGGACCAAATAACGATCTTCCTATTGCTTATGCTAGCCGTACGCTAAATAGAGCAGAGATTTCATATTCATGTGTGGAAAAAGAACTATTATCCATAGTTTGGTCGGTGAAGCATTTTCGTCCGTACCTTTATGGTAGGAAATTTAAAATTGTTACAGATTGTTGGCCTTTGACCCAGTGGCGTAGCCAGGATTTTGTCTTGGGGGGGCAAATTTGCGGGAAGTGTTTCTTGCGGCCCCATAATCGCGATCGCTGCCGGAGGTAAAGCGCCGCAGGCGCGGAATTTTTGGGAGCCACGCCCTTTTTTTAGGTTTCTTTTCGCTATTTTTGGGACTGTTTACTTTAATTTTGAAGAATTATTCATAAAATTTAAGGGTCTTGGGGGGGGGGGGCAAATGCCCCCTTGCCCCCCCTGGCTACGCCAGTGCTTTGACCTGGCTATTCAATTGTAAAGACCCATCTTCGCGATTGGTTCGTTGGAGGCTTACGCAGGGTCGGCGCAACCATTAGGCGAACTAGGCGGTCGCCTAAGGCGGCAAACTTAAAGGGGCGGCAAAAAGGCTAAAAAAAAAATCTTTTGAATTCCGCTTTGCTTTATTCCATTTCTCTTGCAAACCCAAACACAAACTTTGCCCTTCTTAGGCCGGTGAAACACTGGAGAAATAAGTTTCATGAAACTTGTTGGAAGAAACAGGAAATTTGTTTCATTTTTACACGACACATACGTCATTCGAATGAGGCGGATCACACTGGCGTTCCTGGAACAGGAGAGCAGAAATTATTTCGCCAGTGTGCGCCTCCTTATTTGAATGTATCTATGTGTCGTGGTCGTGTGATAGATAATGGAACAAATTTCCTGTTTCTTTCAACAGTTTCATACAACTTATTTCTCCAGTGTGTCACCTGCCTTATGAGCACATACTGCTATACCTGCTTCTGCTAGTGGCTAGGGGTTGTGCGACCGGGTGGCGGGTTGCCAAAAACTACTTATCTTATATTATGATTATTTTTGGCACAAAATTAACGTTTTAGGCGGGCGTGGCACCAGTGACCAGAATAGGATTTTTTCGCCTCCGCCGGCGCCTGCGGCGGGAATGTGTGTATGTAATTTTTTATGTTGATATTCCAATCTATATTCTGTAAGTCAGGTTATATTATTTACAATCATTAATAAAACTATAAGACATGTTTTTAAAAATAGCCATGCATATTTGCATTTTTACTTGATGGGGGCGGCCAACACTACATTTGCCTAGGGCGCCAAAGTCGCTTGCGCCGACCCTGGGCTTACGTTGGAGGAATATGACTACGAGATCTGTTACAAACCGGGTCATTTAATTTCAGTAGCCGAAGCCTTATCTAGAAATCCAGTATTACATATTGATTTTCAAGAAAAACCATATGCCGATTTTGGCCATAAGGCAGCATTACCCAATAAAATAACAAATGACCCAGAATTCCACTACACGTATGATACCTATAACAAACAACTTCAGTTGAGATTAAAGGGGGTGTGTAAAAATTAAAGTTTTAGTGTAAAAAAATCTAAGAACAACTGTTCAAACCTCGTTTTTTTCCGATAAACCATCGCTGAGATATACCACTTTAAAGCGTGTGTGACGTCACGAGAGCTTCGTCCAGCCGCGCTCCGCATTGTTAATTTGATTGTTCCCGGCACGCGTGAGTGGTTTTTGTTTAGATTATTGCAGGTGACACAGGAAAAACATATTGTAGGAAGTGGGCCCACCGGAGGCGAAGCGCCACAGGCGCGAGATTTTTGGGTGTTGCCAATGACCCGATAATTATCGAATTCTACCATAATTTTGACTACAATTCAATAATCGATAATGCCAAAGCTAATCTACCATAATTAATTGAAACTATAATTTTAAAAATTAAGAATGCATTAAAAAAATTGAAGGTGGTTGTTGGTTTTGAATATTTTGACGTACATACTGGTGCGAGCACCAAACACTAGTCCCAGAGTCCTAGCTAGAATAGGTAGAGATAAAAAGTCAAAAAAGTTGACAGAAACTTTTTCTGATAATTTTTCTTGGAATCTGATAATTTTGTTCTCAAATCCTGATAATTTTAAATTCTACGGTATTTTTGGGACTGTTTATTTTAATTTTGAAGAATTATTATATTCTTCAAATGCCCCCTTGCCCCCCCCCCCCCTGGCTACGCCAGTGTTTCAAATTGCTAGAGAAAACATTATCAATTCTAAAATGAAATCCAAAACCTACTACGATAAAAAAATTATTGATTTAAATTTTTCTGTAGGCGACCAAGCTTACCAAGCTAACAAAAATAAACTCGAACAATTCGGTTCTCTTAAAAAAAAAAAAAACACTAGAAAAGAAACTTGATACTATTCATTCATTTAGAGGTTTAATAAACGTAAAAATCCCGAGACTCAGATATTAATGCAACAACAAATAAGAGTAATGTCTTCTGCAATTGAAAATTATAATCGATCTGTTTTTTCTTTAAATTTCGAAAATTTTAAAAAATTTAATGACTAAACTAGAACACAATTGACTGAGATTTCGTAGGTATGTGACTTCAGTAACGGAGCATATTAACTTATTATTATTGCATATCATAACTGAATTAACTGAAGAATATGATTTGATAATTTCTTCAATACTTTTTGCCAAGCAAAGATGCGGAAATAGGTATAGGTACCTACATAATTTGTAGTAAATTGTTATTATTTTTTTTTTTTTTTGATTATTGATTTTTTCCGCACTGGTGCGGGAAAACTAATTTTTCTATTTTGGTGTCATATCGAAGTCTTTTCGACACTAAAAGTAGTTTCGAAAAGAAGCTCTTTGTGACACTCCTTTTTTACTTATCGGAGGTTGGTTACACTGGCTGACTGATAGAAGATTTCTATATTTGGCATGCAGTGTTACCAACCTAAACATATGAAATCAGGAAATATGAGAATAAAATTTCTAAGAAAAATTTGTTTTTTTTAATTAAACAATACCCAAATAGAAAAAATAGTATAAAATATTCGTTTCATAAGACATTTTATGAAACTTGTATTTTAATGTACTATTTCCGCACAGGTATCGGTGCGGAAAATTGATTTTGCCGCACGGTTGTAGAAAAGACAGTAAAATAAATGAACATTTTATTTTTTATTTTATTTTATTTTATTTATTTATCCACGGGAAAACCCCATTAACTTGTTATATACATAGATACAAGTTTTCAAAGTTAGGTACATAATCAAATCCAAATTAATTAAAACGAGATTGAAACTAATTATTCTAACAAACAATATAAAACAATGAATACATTTGTTTATAAGTAATCCAATATTATACAAAAATGCAAAGAAATACTCCCCAATGATAAAAACAATCACATCAGAAAAGCTCTCCTGAGTGAAGGCAGAGTTATATTAAGTATGTCTATATCAACATTGTTTAATAAATTCATATATCTGTTCAATGGACTATTGATAATAGCGAACATTGAGACCAACTTGAGCCAGGAGATCAGGGCAGTCAATTTAGCCATTTATAATTTTCGTTATAAAGACAGAGATATTCGTGTTAGACTTAGACTTAGTTGTGTTTGCTTGTTTTATATTTTATATTTTGTATGTTGACCTTAGGACATGTAATGTTTGAATCTATTTTGACCTTTATTATTGCACTTATACTTATTATGTAATACTTTTTTTTAATTTTTTTTTTTATTAGCTTTGTCAACAAAACTTGATTTTAGACAATAAAGCATATTTTGATTTGATTTGATTTGAGCCAAACATATTACGGCGTTTACTTAGAGGAGGCAAAAAGAGTTGCTGCTCAAGAATCCCATAGTCATGGTTGACAATCCTATAGGTATCTAAAGTTACTTTTGAAAGCACAAACCGTAAAAGTGTATGCTGGACTCCTTCCAATGAGTCTGAATGGACTTGGTGATATGGCGACCACACAACTGAACAGTATTCCAAGGTCGACTGAACCAATGAACAATACACCACTCGAGTGGTGGGTACATTAACATTGTAGGCAAAACAATCAATATTATATTAGTAAAAATGGTACAAAAAAAACAGAGAACAGACAAATGACAGGCACATTTAAAACTAGCATAAGTACAACAAGCTAAAATATAACAAGACGCAAAAAATCTTAAGATTAGAATAGAGTGTTGAGTGCCGAATGGGAAGCGGTATATCTTGCGTCTCTAGTCTCTCATGTGAAAAAGGCAGTTTGGTGTACAGGGAACGAAGATATGTGTTTATGGATCAGACCAACCGATTCAAGGGTCAAAGGACAAGGTAATGTTAAGATATTATATTTTTTAAATGAGGGTTTGCAGTGTTCCACTTAAGAAGCACCAGCAATAAAGCGCACTGCTCGCTTCTGGAGCTTAAATACTGATTCAAACCGGTATGGGCTACAACGGCCCCAGAAAGGTAGTGTATAGAACAGGTGTGTTGTAGTGCGGTGTCACACTATGCATTTTTACCGCTGGGGCAAGAATGGGTGCGATTTGATTTAGTTCTCGAGATATTCACTGTCAAAGTTGCCATGGGCTAAATAAGAAACAATGTTCTGGCCCTGTTATTCTCAAATCAGCACTTTCCTGACTTTCCTCTCGGACACGTCAATTTTAATTTTTACAGAAGCACACAAAAAATCCCTATCTTCCCTATTTAAAAAATAAGGGGTGAAGGTGAAAGTCAACTCACGCAGGGAATGCACCCTAGCGAAATACCGATGGGGTCAAAAAGTTTCCCCCTTGAATACAAAAATGACGTGTCCGAGTGTTTTTTTTTTTAAATCAACCTTAAATACCGTAAAATGCCTGTTTTGATGTTCGTGAAACACCCTGTATAATTAATGCCATGAAATATCCAAAAAATATTAATATGTGTAACTATTACTGATAAATAAATATCTAAATAAGTAAGGATGCGTTTTCATTCTTTTATAATGACAAACTCAGATTTTTTCAGGTAATTATCTAGATTGGCGGATTAGTATTACCTTTGTGCTATGGACATGTGTGGAAATGCGTCAATTCCAAGATAGAGGGTGTAAATTTATTATTTTTATGTAATTACGTTTGATCAAAAGAGAGAACTGAAGAAGTTCTTGAAGGGAGAAGGTAGTCTCTCATTTTTTCTCAAAATGTTTTTTCCACAGAAAATCAGTCTGTCTTATTTAGACAAGACGAAAACAGAGACGAGAAGGTTTCGGCGGCGTCCTACTCTTCTAGAGTCTGACTAGGAAGTGACAACTAACAAAATTAGTTGAAAATATGTTTTCTATATGGTAATCTTATATAAATCTACTTGAATTTAAAATTGGCAAACTAAATAATCCTAACAAGAATTATTTAACTATGAGATATATTCAAGAAATAATGAAGTAAAAACAATAGCTTCATGTCTAAAAATGGTTTTAAGAGAAATCATTTTTCCTTTGATAGTTCGAGGTTATGTTGGCTAGAGCTGTTGAAAACCTAGCGAGAAAAAAAAAAGATTTTCTTTAAAGAAAATTTGATCAATTAAAAGACTGGGAAGAATTGAAAGATACCGGCAGGGGCGCCATGGATAATATATATCCACGGCGGCTTGAACAAAAAAAAAATAGATGAGTGCCTTTATACCTAACTAGTAACATACTGTTTATTTTCGAAAATATTTCCTATTTCACACAATATAATCATTGCTCTGGTAGGTAATCAATGCTAATAATTTCCTCTTCAATATTGCTGGGGAAAGCTTCCATTTCCCAAATCATATCATTGGATTCACTAAAACAATTTATTATCATCAACTAAACAAAACACAATTATTGACCTTTACCTGTCCAGAGAAGGTTCGTTACTAAACATTTCAGTTGGCACAGTCAAAGGGGCCCGTTCGGGCACCAAATCCAAAAAGCTCTGTGACTGCAGGTGCCTTTCGACTTCTTCGGGCGTCATGTGTCCGTCAAAGTTGGCATCCACGTTTACCATTTGGGGTTGCTAAAATTTGAAAATCATGTTTTTGTGTATGCAATTCGTTTGGGTTTTTACCGTTGCGGGTTGACTTTGCTTTTTCGCAGACTGGGTGCGTTTCTTTTTAGCCAAGGTGTTCTGTTTTTTGCGGCCTCGGTCCACTGGTTTTCTTCTAAAAACAAAATGCAAACTTGGTTTGACCAAATTCTATTGATAACTGTGTGAGCTACAAAAATCAAATTATTTATTTATTTATTTATTTATTTATCAACGGGCCGAGCCCACTTACAAAATGTTAAACATTCAATTCAACAATATGGAATTACATTTACAGTTAATCACTCTTTAAATTATATAATGATAATAATAACAACAACTAACAGCCCTGCAACTTGATGAGAAATGAGTAAGACTAGATAGGTAGATTGGACTAGTAGATTTAGGTAAAAATCAAATAAAAATGAGTAGGTACAGTAACGTTATAAGAGGTGGGATTAGCAGTATATGATAAAAGTTTGCTAACAACTACCTAAAAGTATGACGAACTTGACTCAGGAAAATGCTCAAGGGGACAAAAAGGTCAATCTCATGGTGCTCATTTGCAAGTCTAGCTGTTCGGGAAATAAAAGTATTGCGTCCGTAATTAGTTCGATGAATCGGAATATGAAAACTGTCATTCGACCTGGTTGTTCTTGGAGGGACATGAATGCTAATTTTGTGAAGAATTTCGGGAATCGAAGCCTTCCCATGTAGGATATTATAGAAGGTTGTAAGGTCTCTCCTCTTGTGACGCATAGTTATTGAGGCCATATTCAACATAGAAAGTAAATCAAATCAAATCAAATCAAAATAAGCTTTATTGTCAGAAATTGTAAAAACTTATTGACAAAGCAATCCTATTAGTCCAAGAGCCCAGAGCCGCCAGACACAACTTATTTTCTAAAGGACAGAATATGTGGGATTGAGTAGCACTTATAGGTACTATGAACGTATGTATACTCGCTAAGTTGGGTAGACGGCCAGTTGACTGTTATTTGTAAATAACGGTTTTTCCCATTATGGGAAAAACCGAATCCCATTTCTACTCTAGCCTGGAGTAGACTGTAAGTTTAAGAGGGGGAAATAGATATCTCGCTCACTCTCAAACGCATGCATAGTACCCTCGCGCTCACACTAACAGAAAAACTATTATTGCGTCTGGGGGGATGTTTGGACGGTGCGATTGGTCTGGCTGAGCACACATAGTTATGAAATAGTCTCCCCAATAACATGTATAAAAATCAAGCGTTAGAAAAAAAGTTAAAGTACTTTTTAAGCTTTCGCACCTGGTGTCGGTAAATTGGCCGTCTACCCAACTTAGCGGGTATACATACGTTCATCGTACATATAAGTGCTACACAATCCCACATATTCTGTCCTTTAGAAAATAAGTCGTGTCTGGCGGCTCTGGGCTCTTGGACTATATCCTAACATTATATGGCCACTTGAACTAAAATATAAAAGTAAGTAATCGAGAACTGTGAATCATTATAATTATTCAAAATATTCAGTTTTGTTTTCAGTTTCAAAAATTTGTGTTCAACGAGCTGTACAGAATCTCGATGTACAACATAAAAGGGAGACCAGACGCCAGACGCAAGAGGCATATTCTAGATGAGGGTGTACTAGGGCACAATATAAAGTCTTTAAGGTTTTAATATTGATGAAATCTTGTGAAGTCCTTCTGATAAAACCCAGCATTTGAAAAGCTTTATTTACTGCATTGTTTAAATGATCAGTGAAGAAAAGATCTGTGTCCAAAGAAACACCAAGGTCTCTGATAATGGAAACTTCCTCAAGGATGTGTTGACCAATTTTATAATTAAATTTAATAGGATTTTTAAGACGTGAAAATGTAATGGCTTTACATTTAGAAGGGTTGAGATCCATGAAGTTTCTAATACACCAATATTGAAGGCTGTTAAGATCGTACTGTAGTTTGTCACAGTCTTCAGGAGTTCTCACTATGCAGCTCATTTTGAGGTCGTCGGCAAACAACAAGAAAAGACATATGGTAAAACATTCGTGAATATAATTTACAAAGACATTAAAAAGGAGTGGCCCAAGATGGGACCCCTGTGGCACCCCAGAGGTAACCTGAATGATTTTGGAGAGGAAATTGCCAATTTTAACAATCTGTCTCCGACCAGACAAGTAACTGTGACACCATGAGATCAACGGTTCATGAATCCCAAACAACCTAAGCTTATGTAATAACATGGTATGGGAGACCCTGTCGAATGCCTTGGAGAAGTCAGTGTAAATTGTATCCACTTGAAGTCCCTTCTCCAAGGCATCCAACAGATAATCCACTTGAGTTAAAAGATTTAATTCAGTTGATTTGCCCGGTCTGAAGCCAAATTGTTCATTGATTAACCTAGGTTCTAAGAGGGGTGTTAAAAAGTCACATACTAGGCTCTCAAAAACTTTAGGGATTGTGCTGATAATACTAATGGGTCGGTAATTGGTTACCTCCAGATTTAAAGATGGGCTTGAGAAAGCTTTCCTTCCAAAAATCTGGAAAAACGCCAGTACATAGTGATAGGTTGAAAATGTGGCAAAGGGGCCTTGAAAGGTTAAAACTGCAGTTTTTTAGAAGTATGGCTGGTATTCCATCTGGACCAAGGCCCTTGTTAATATCTAGCGTAAATAATTTGGTGAATATGTCAGATATTAGTATATGATGCTTTGGTATATGGCCTATGGATGTAGGTAACTCATGTGTAGGAATATCATGATGATTGAATAAAATGTAGAAAAATAATCTGCAAACATGTCAGCAATCTCCTTACCAGAGCAACTTGACCTGTCTTGATATTTAAGTTCACTAAGAAAAGCATTGCTTTTCCTTTTATTGTTAACAAAAGACCAGAATCTTTTTATGTTGGAGTTAATGGCCCTTTCAGTCCCCCGAACATAGTTTTGGTAGCATTCCTGTATCAAGTTCTTGCAGAGATGTCTCAACCTAGAAAATTCACGATAATCCACATCAGAACGAGAGGACTTGTATTTTTTATGAGCTTTTTTCTTTAGAATTACATAGTTTTTTAATTAAAGGTACAAACTTATCAATGGCAATGTAGATAATTTCATAAAAAATATTTAACATTGTTTCAAGAGTTTGATTACATAATAAAAAGTCCCAGTTAAATTGATCTAAAAACATAACAATATCCTGAAAATTGGTAGAAATAAAGTCTCTATAAAAACCGTCAAAGTCAAGACCTTCATCAGTAGTGTCCGAACAGTTAGATTTCAAGGTAACACTTAAAAGTGGGTGAACCACAAAAGGAACTAGGAAACAGTCAGCAGGTCTAACTTCCGTTGAAGAGTCTTGCGTAAGAATTAGGTCAAGGAGGCTATTGTGAGATGTTAAATATTTATTAGTTTGGAACAAGTTGTGAAAGTTACAGATGTTTGAAATAACCTCAACACGAGCAGTATCTAGAGGCACAGTTGCAGTCACAGAGGAGCTAAGGTTGTCAATCTGCCATGAGGCGTGTGGTAAATTGAAGTCACCAAAAATATGTAGAGTAGAACTAGGCATCTGAAGTGCAAGTTTCAGTGTTACTAAAGCTACCCCGTTCGGGGTAGATCTACCTCTTTTGAAAACAATCTCGCCCTTCCGCTCCCCTCAACTAAATCTACCCCGCTCTAAATATAATCTAGGTATGCTATAGCACAAAAAGAATGCTTCTGCTTATCGCTAATTAAAAATACTTACAAAATCCAAATTATGAGAAACAATTTATTTTATCTGAACTGTAGGTACCTATGAAACGAGTTTTTTGTCTACGCCTAAGATATAACTTCAGTTAGAGATTCCTTTGAGTATCTCTTTTGAATTTGTGTGGTAATTGATGCAGAAAAATATGTAAAAAGATTATAGTTATTTACCTAACAGCGTCAAAAACGCATGTGTTATAAAATTTTAGCTATATCATTAGTGAAGTAGTCTTCTTTACCGCACACTATGCGGTGAAGTAAATACTGCACACTTCGCAGGTTATTTTAACGCAGTAACATTAGCGCATAGTGTGCGGTGAAATGCTAATTTTTGCACGCTCGTAGGTGAAATTTTTGGCTCTGTAATGAAAGAGCGCTGCACAAAAGAGCGCTGTTACAAAAGAGCGCTGTAACAAAAGAGCGCTGTAACAAAACAGCGCTGCACAAAAGAACGCTGTAACAAAAGGGCGCTGTAACAAAAGAGCGCTGCACAAAAGAGCGCTGTAACAAAATAGCGCTGCACAAAAGAGCGCTGTAACAAAAGAGCGCCGTAACCAAAGAATAACCCAAACTGATCCATCCTCGGAATGCGACCCAATCTCTGTTTCCTATTTTCATCAAATTGCTCAAACAGAAAATGAATACAAAATAACCGAATCTAACCCTTCCTCGGAATGCGACCTAATCTCTGTAATTGCTCAAACAAAAAATGAATACAAAATAACCCAATCTAACCCAAACTAACCCGTCCTCGGAATGCGACCCAATCTCTGTTTCTCAATTTCGTCAAATTGCTCAAACAGATAAGGATACAAAATAACCCAAACTGACCCGTCCTCGGAATGCAACCCAATCTCTGTTTCTGAATTTCATCATATTGTTCAAACAGAAAGTGAATACAAAATAACGCAAACTAACCCGTCCTCGAAATGCGACCCAATATCTCTGTTGCTTAATTTCGTCAAATTACTCAATCAGAAAATGAATACAAAATAACCCAATCTAACCCAAACTAACCCGTCCTCGAAATGCGACCCAATATCTCTGTTGCTTAATTTCGTCAAATTACTCAATCAGAAAATGAATACAAAATAACCCAATCTTACCCAAACTGACCCGTCCTCGGAATGCGACCCAATCTCTGCCCTTTTTTACTTAATTCATCTTTTTGAAATTCAGACAGCGCTGTTTTGTTACAGCGCTCTTTTGTGCAGCGCTGTTTTGTTACAGCGCCCTTTTGTAACAGCGCTCTTTTGTGCAGGGCTCTTTTGTTACAGCGCCCTTTTGTTACAGCGCTCTTTTGTGCAGCACTCTTTTGTTACAGCGCTCTTTTGTGCAGCACTGTTTTGTTACAGCGCTCTTTTGTTACAGCACTGTTTTGTTACAGCGCTCTTTTGTTGCAGCGCTCTTTTGTGCAGCGCTCTTTTGTGCAGAGCTCTTTTGTTACAGCGCTCATTTGTTACAGCGCTCTTTTGTGCAGCGCTCTTTCGTTCCAGAGCCGAAATTTTTGTAGCTACCCTGCACTGATTCTATTCTGTCCCGCTATCTTGCCGTAATCTGCCCCAATAAAGAAAAAGCTTGTGGCAACACTGGCAAGTTTATCCAAGGTTTCAGAAAATGTAGTATATACTTGAACTGGTGAATTAGGAGGGACATAAATTGCCCCTAGGATTAAATTAGAATTGCTAGATCCAATAGCCACAAAAACTTGTTCAATGTTATCTGCAACATCAAGCGGTTTGCTAGGTATAGATTGTGAATTGCTATTAGAACTCCTCCCCCTCTTGAAAAAATACTGGTGTTAGTTGAACGGTCCTGGCGATAGATGTTAAATTCAGTGAAATTGAGTTCAGCATCATAGATGCCACTGTGCAGCCATGTTTGAGTTAAAACAAATATTTCGTGATGACAGGCCAAAATATTTTGTTGGATTAAGTTTAGTTCGGTTCTTAAGCCTTGGGTGTTCTGGTAATATACACTGGCCAGCAAAATTAACGCACCACTACTATTTTTGAAAAATATTTTTTATTTCATAATTTTGATCAAATATTTTTATGTCTTGATTAAATATGTTCTTATTCTGACCTAATAAGGGTATTAACAAAAGATAAAATTCCAAAAGAAGGTAAGAAAAAAAAAAAGAAGAAAAGTCAAAAAAAATTTTTTTTTAACTTTAGTTAAAAATAAATAATAACCGGTATTTCCTCCTCTATTTTGAATAATAGCACGGCAGCGATTTTTCATGTTAAAATTTTGGGCCTTATCTTGCTTTAATCCAAATTATTCAATATTTTGACAATATCTCCAGTAAGCCCATTCAAAGTGTTAGGAGGGTTAGGAAGCTCTTGAAAATGGCGACAAATCATGTCCCAGCCATCCTCAATTGGGTAAAAATCAGAACTGTTTGCTAGTCAATCCATAGTTCCAATTCCAACCTCATTAAAATAGAAATAAGTAAGTGGTGCGTTAATTTTGCTGACCAGTGTACATAAAAATTTTTAGTAGGCTCGGTTTGATTTAGATTATTGTATGATTTTAGGAACACCCTGAAAGTATTTGATTCTTAAATTACTTTCTCCGTCGGATAATCTTTGCTCAAGTTCAGTCTTCATCCTTGCTTCAGCTTCGATCTGAGTTTTGGTTAAATCCGGTTTAACGTAGATATTTGACCCATGTGAAGTGAGCTTGCCATCAACAAAGAGCCAGGAACACAAATATCACAGTCGACCAGTTCATTATTGGTGATGATTATTTAACATGCAAAATCACAATGTATCTTCTTTCAAATTATTAAATTTAAAATAGGTACAAAATATATTCCCCCGGGGTTATGTCACGAATAATCCGCCAATTTACTAGAAACTATGTATGTATATAGCCAAATAAATTGTAAAAAAAATTGTTATTTTTTTCTAATTTTGAATTTTTAAGAAATCGTTTCAGTTAAATTTTGATAGAATATTGAGGATTAATTGAAAAGACGACGAATTAGCCTTGATTCAACCCACTGATAAGAGAGATACAAATAAATTATAAAAAAATTAGTTATTTTTTTCAATTTTTTAATTTTCAAAAAATTGTTTTGCTTAAATTTTGTAACAATATTGAAGAGTAATTAAAAAGACAAAAAATGAGCCTCAATCCAACTCCTTAGCCAATCTGATCAGGGGCGGATGGGACCACCAGGACACTGGGCCACTGTTTATTTTGTTATGAAGATTAATAAAAAAAATATTGTCCACTACCCTATTGGCGCTTGGCCCCTTTTTGCTCTACAGAGGCGACATATACGCGCGTAAACAACAATAATTGTGCATGTCGCCTTTGTACAGATGCTTCCACACACTATGAAAACTGTCGGTCTTGCTACAGGGTTCTAAGTATGCTTACAAAATTCCTAGCAACTCCTGAATTCACCTGAGCGTCATTTTCCCACTTGCACATTCAAAAAAGTAACGGTATTTTGCATACATGTTGATGTTTTTGTTTGCGCGTTCATGTATGTGCGTACTAACATGTTTTAAGACACCCACGCCCGTATGTAACTGCATTTAATTACTCTCCAATATTCTATCAAAGTTTAAGTGAAACATTTGCTTGAAAATTGAAAAATAGAGAAGAAATAATTTCTAAAATTTATTTGGCTATATAGTTTAAAGTAAACTGATGAATTAGTGGGGAAATAACCCTGGGAAAACATATTTTGTACCTAATCTAAACTAATTACCCCTTTAAAGAAGATACCTAAATACATTGCGATGGCTGCTGGCTCGCTTCATGGATATTAACAAATTGTGCTTACTTTTTCGTTGTTGGCTCTAGCTTAATCTCAAACGTTTCCTCCTCAGATACCTCTGTATCGTCAGATTCAGATGTAGAACACTCATTTTTTTCGTACTCCTCCAATCTGTCCAGCAAAAGTGAACTGTCTCTTGTTACTTGGAGCAATAATTTTTGGTTCCTTCTAAGGGCCAATCTATAACTTTGGTTTTCCTGCAATTATATTCGTAATTAAACGTTCGAGGATGCAATTTTTCTTACATAAATGAGATTGTGCAGTTTGCCTTTCAGGGCTATGTACTCTTTCTTGTATTTGGACTCTTCCATAGCTTGTTCCTCTTCTTCGGCTTGGGCAGCTTCATTTGCCATCGAACGACAGTACCATCCATCCAACATGTTTTAAGTTAAGTTAAGTTCAATGTTTTTTTTCCATTGTTTTGATTACAGTTATATGATGTAAACATAGCGGCCATCGGGTTTTGTGGTGCTATGCATCACACAGTGTTGCCAGGTATTATCAACTTTCATGCGCCAGTTTTAACATTAAAATGCGCCACCAAAGCGCCATAAGAGTAAAAAGTTGTCGGAGTTTTAAAAATCGGCTATTATTGCTATTAGGCTATGCAAAGGCAATCAATACAATTATATTGATTTTAACCATAAAATTAATAAAACAAAACTACTAACTACAGTGACTCAATCTTAGATTAGGGAAGAGAGTGGATGCGTAACAACTCAAAGGCATTTTTTACCACCTGCCACATCACCGATAATTATCAATTTTCGATATATTTTTATTTTAAGGTATTAATAATAAGAAATTTAATTTTACAGATTAATGAAAATACCTTATGAGGTGCTATTTAAATAGTTTTCTGCATTTTGAATTATTTTTCAGGACAATTTGATATTTAAAATGAAAGATGACAAGACAGGATTTTTTTAAACAAGTTTTATTAATACAAAAATATCCTGCTTCCTTTTTCTCGCTGCGACTTTTAAATCCATAGGCTGAACAATTCACCATCGTAAAATTCACTATTTTTCAATTCACTGCTAATTTTCACTTGAAAAAACACGAAAAATGCCAAACACTGCATTCGCTTTGTCTGCCTCATAAACAATGGCGGCGTGGTAACAGAATCGAATCAGTGCGCCTATAGGCGGTTACACACGGACGTGGATGTCTGAAAACATGTACGCACATACATGAACGTGCAAACAAAAGCATCAATGTGTATGCAAAATACCGTCGCGTTTTTGAATGTGCAATTTTGTATGCACACTCGGAACACTGTAGCAAGAATAGCAAGACTGCAGTTTTGTGCGAGCGTCCGTAGAAAAGCGCCATGCACGTTGTTGTTTGCACGTTGATGTATGCACGTATATGTATTAAGACATCCACGTCCGTGTGTAACCGCCCTATAGGATGCGCGGTATCCATTCTCTTCCCTAATCTAAAGACTCAATAAACCTTTTTAACCAACAATGGCGGCCCTTAGGGCCGAATTTATAGTCGCTTTTTGAGGTTTTCTCAGACCTTAAGTGGGTATTCACACCAAAGTAGCATGCGACGTTCAACTTGAGTAGGAAGCACGCAAACTATCCAAATATACGACGCATGTTGCCACGTCGCATTTTTGCGACGCTACTCCGGTGTGAAACCTCCCATATTTCTGGTTGTAGCAAATGTCCATGTGTCCATTCTAAACTCACGACCTCCAAGGAAGACTCAAGGATTATAAATTTGGCCAACCAATCCTAAACAGGGCGGCAATTGTCGCCACTGTGGTTTCGCAAATGCGCCACATCTGGCAGCACCGGCAACGCAACGCAACTGTCGCAAACGCAGTGTTGCCAACTCGGTAGAATTTCCACTAGTTCTAGTGGGTTTGAAACTCGTCCGGTGGAATAAGCAAATTCCACTATAGTGGTAATTTTAATGGGATCCACGGCTTCAACTCTAGTGAATTTTTAGTGATACTTCGCTTCGATTAGTTTTCGACACTTCTTTTTAAAATTTCGTATTTGTAGATATAGTATTTCTGATAATTTACAGAGGGCAGCATATTTTTCGTCCTATTTTTGATTGTTTTTTTTTTTGTACGTAAATGTTTATTGAGTCACTGTATGCACTGTATGACAGTAACAAATAGGTTTGCCACAAGAATCGTACTCTACAGAGGATTGCTCAATCGGCTAAATTTGTTCACAAGTGCTCTAACGTCACCTGCATTCCTGACTTTCAAGATGGCCGCCGATACAGATAAAGTTGAGTTTGTGGTGAAAATTATTTTATCGTAAATTCGAAGTTTATCAAGTGTTATATAAGTGTAATTTAAAGTTACATTTAATGTGTGTAAGCATAAAAGACTCATGGCTAAAAATAATCGCGGAAACCCCAAAAATTTTCTGGTTTTAGTGGTTTTGTAATACTGGATTTGTTGCATCAGGACATAGCTTCTTTTATTGATAATGTGTACTTATTGCTTAGTTTTCTACTAACAAACTCGTCTTCGTAATTAGCTTACGACTCAAGCACACAAACTTTTGAAATGATTTTCTAGTGCTTGGAAGGACAATTTTCGTATTTTAAGATGGAAAGTTTTTAGTTAAAGAAATTATTAGTGGAAAACCCGGATGTTTGCAAAAGTTATGATTATTTCTTTGTGATTGTGACAAACCCTTACTTAGTAAACAATTAGGTAGGTACTATCCAGGATTTGTTTCCTGTTTAGTTTTTTCTTAACCAAATCCTGAATCCTGATGTTTATTTTATTTGTATGCTATTCAAGGTACCTATCTACACAAGTTGAGGCTGAGGTGGAGAATAGTAAATGGCTTATGGATCCATACATCGTTTATGTGGATGAGAGACTTTTAGGTTTTTTAATATGGATTTCGTCAGATTTTCTCTCTTTTGCTGCAATCCATGAAGCCCTACAAAGTACAAACAAATCGTTTTTCGTCGTTGGATTGCCCTATTTTTTACGTTTTAAAAATGCAAGGAAAATGCACTGTCATAATAAAAAACAAACTGATGAAGGACTGCGTGACGTCATTCGCATTCCTCCATGTTCTATATTTTTATGAACGTATGTCTTATGGGATTGAGCAATCCTGTAGAGTTTACGATTTTGGGTTTGCCATATTTACGAGTGGAAAAAGCGTGGCAACGACGCGACGGTGGGGAGGAGGGGAATTATTTTATTTTTTTATTAGTTCTATCCCACGCACAAGGAATTTGGTCACCTTCAGTGGGGGTAAATCTTTTATTTCCGTAAGTGAGAATAAGATAGGTCTGCCTCAAAATTAAGGATGATTTATTTATTTATTTTATTATTAATCAAAATGACATTTATGTTGGCAATACAATATAAAATTGTCAATGCTTTCGAATTTTTTTACGTAAAATAGTTACTATGGGAAGGAAAAATACAACTATGATTGTATAATAGAAAATGTATGAACCCTGTGGCACAGCGTTGTCCGGTTCAACCATTAAGGGCCCCATACACTACGATGAAGCACGACGGTTTTCCTCGCCACGATAAAAACACGTCGTTCCAAAACCGAAGTGTCTGGTAGAAAACCGCCGTGTTTTTCTACCACACACTTCGGTTTTGGCACGAAGTGTTTCATCCCGGCGATGAAAACCGTCGTGTTTCATCGTAGTATATGGGGCCCTTTATTAGGCGTTTTCTGAAAAGCTCTATTCTGTATTTTCCTTTGAATTTGAAAAGCGGGGCATTGGGGTACTTTGGCGTGGCGCGTGGCAGCAAGTGGAAAAGCGTGGTAATCACGCCTAAATCTGGCAACTTCTTGTTACTAACAAAATAACAGACGTCTACAACAAAATCACTGTATTCATATTTTTTACAGTTATTAAACAATAAAAAACAAAGAGCAGCGCTTAACATTCCGAAAAAGAGTGGAAAAAATGTAATAGATTTTCTATTTTTTTTGTTCTAACCGTTAAACGTAACCATATCGCCGAGCTGGGTTAGGGCCGAATTTATAGTCATTCCTTGACTCTTCCGTGGAGGTCGTGAGTTTAGAATAGACACTTTGCTACCATTTGACAAATTAGTCATGTCAATTCTAAACGTTCAAGGCTCCCTTAAGGTTTGAGGAAACCTCAAGGAGCGACTATAAATTCGGCCCTTAGAGAAATGACATACCGTTTCCTGACCCCGGTTACATAGTGACGTCATCGATAGCACTCGAATTTGAGCGGTATGTTGCGGATTGTTGAACCGGAGCCACATGAAAAGGGCTGTTGGGTAAACTCTTGGTTCTGCTAAACGGTTCAACTTTTCAAAATTATATTTGTTTGCAAGGGGAACACTTTTTGGCTGTTTCAAAATTTTTCTAGATTGCACCCCCTTACCGGGGTGAGTTGCACCCTTGAAACTTGAAGAGGGAAACTGGGTCCAGTGGTACCTTGTTTGAGAGGTATTTGAGATGACTTTACAGATCTGCAATTTATTTCGAAATCTCACTACTAGTTTTTAAGATATTCGCCTCGGAAGTTGCCATGGGGCGAAAAGAGAACGTGTTTTCCGTACATTTCTACAAGAAAAAATTTAAATTCCTGAAACACGCCTATTTTGTTTATTTTGAACCTTTATTTCTTTGTAAGTTTGAACCTTTTGAACAACCTTTCAAACATGACCCACTTTTAATTTTTTCACGAAAAACACGTTCTCTTTTCGCCCGATGGTTGCTTCCGAGGCGAATATCTTGAAAACTAGAAGTCAGATTTCGAAAAAAATTACAGATCTGTGAAGCCATCTCAAATACCTCTCAAACAAGGTACCACTCGACCCAGTTGCCCTATTCAAGTTTTGAGGGTGCAACTCACCCCAGGGGGTGCAATCTAGAAAAATTTTGAAATAGCCAAAAAGTGTCCCCCTTGCAAACAAAATCGACGTGTTTCGGCGTTTTTTTAAGTTCCTGATAATTTTTGAGATAATCCAGGTGGATCCTTTTTAATTTTCCACCCTGTATATCTACATATACACACGTCCCCTCCGGCATCTCCGGATGTTGCTTGATGTTGGGTTAGTTGGGATTAGTTGAGTTAGTTGAGATGGTTGGAAAGGGAGATCTAAGGATACTACACACTACACAGGATAGCCTATCTTCATAAGGCCTGTGTAGATCAAATCTCAAGCATCACGGCAAAGTACCAGTTATAACGTAGGAATCGGGTCGAGTCTCGTTTCGACGTAGGGTGTTTACACCATAGGCTATCATTCCCCTGGCTTTTGCTTTATGCATACTTGTGTTAGTACATTAATTAACATTCTAAAGAACCCTTTTCAGATCTCGTCTGCATCTTCCTCGTTGCCTATTCTGTTAATCAAAATTAAATAATATTTTTCATCATAAATGTATATTCTAAACAACGATCGCTGGCGCAAACAGTTAAAGGGGGTGTGCGCCAAAAATTAAAGTTTTAGTGTAAAAAAATCTAAAAATAACTCTTCAAACCTCGTTATTCTA